GCATTTCGAAATAGCGTTTTGCTATTTTGAAGTAGCACATCCACGTTGAATGGACGCTGAATTACATTTAAGGCCAGCCGGAACCAGAACTGGCAGGGCATCAGGTCAGGAGTTACTGTGTGTGGCTGCTGCCTGAGGCTTGTGCTTAAAGGGAACCCCCCCCCTCCCCCGGACAGCTGGTTCTCAGCTTTCCCTGCTTGCTGGCCTACCTCAATGAGGGACCGCAAAGCATTTCGTCTCTGCATACTCTGGTTGCCCTCACTCGGGACACTACAGCACTCTGCAACATGGAGCCAGAGCTGTCCCTGGGCACTCTGGTGATTCTCTTAGATGTGTTGCTGAGAGCCTGGCTGCACTTCCTGCAGGCTGCCATCTGGGAGGTCCATCGGGGGGCTGTCAGTATCCAGGAGGCCCTGTGGGAGAGCTTCCACCCTGAGGAGCACTAACAGTCTCCTTCATCTGCCCCACTGGGGGGCTTGTGCCTCATTCTTCCCTCACATCCTTCCACTTACCCCTCGCCCCTCAGCTCCCCTTCATGTGACTGCTGGCAGGCTTGGAGCTGGCACAGACACTGTCGCCAGAGTCTACCCCTTTAAGGGCTCCAGGGGGGGGAGGAGAGGAGTGTTCTTGGCTGAGGCTGGAGTGGCCACCAGGGCACCCTGGGAAGGCTGGAGGCTCCTAATTTTGAAATAAGTGTCTACACAGCACTTATTTCGAAATAACTATTTCGAATTTGGCATTATTCCCTATAGAATGAGGCTTACCAAATTCAAAATAAGTGCTCTGCTATTTTGAATTTATTTTGAAATAGCGGTTTGGCTGTGTAGACGCTAGGAAAGTTATTTCAAAATAAGGGCTGTTATTTCGAAATAACTTTGCTGTATAGACATACCCATACAGAACAGGTAATCAGCAAGTGATCCCTCACTTGTCACCCCTTCCTAGCTTCTGTCAAACAGAGGCAAGGGACACAATCCCTACCCATTCTGGTCAATAGTCATTGATGAACCTATCCTCCATGAACTTATCTGGCTCTTTTGTGAACCCTGTTGAGGTCTTGGCCTTTACAACATCCTCTGGCAAGGAGTTCCGCAGTGTGCTGTGTGGAAAAATACTTCCTTTTGTTTGAGTTAAACATACTCATGTTATGGGAAGGAGTAAGTAACATTTTTTTTTTTTTTACTTTTTCCACACCAATAATTTCATAGACCTCCATCATATCCCTTCTTAGTCCTCTCTTTTTATAGTTGAAGTTAGGCTTACAGGTCTAGAATTCCTCATATCCAATTTGTTTCCCCCTTGTAAAGATCGGCATTAGTTTTACCCTTCTTCAGCCCTATGGGACCTCACTTGTCCTCAATGAGTTCTCGAAGATAATTGCTTCAGTTAGTTCCTTAAGTATGCTAGGATGAATTGCATTAGCTCCTGCCAACTTGAGTACATCGAACTTATTGAAATATTCTTTAACCTGTTCTTTCCCTCTTTTGACTTGCACTCCTGATTGCTAACGTTACTTGTGCTATTTGGCCACCATCAACCCTTGTAATGAAGACTGAAGAAAAATGGTCATTTAAACACTTCTGTCTGCTGGATGTCCTCAGTTTTTAGCACTCCTTCTCTGCTAAGTAGAGAACCTATACCTCATTTTCCTCTTTCTCTTGTTTCTAATATATTTAAAGAATCTCTTTCATTGCCTTTTATGCCCTTTTCTACGTGTACCTGATTTTGTGGCTTAGCCTTTCTAATTTTGACGCTACGTGCTTGAGCTATTCTGTTTTATTCGTCCTTAGCCATTCATCCATGTTTCCCATTTTTATAGGATTCCTTTTTGATTTTTATCGCTGCCTTACCTCACAGGGGTGATGTGAGGATAAATTTAAGCCATTAAAGGACTCCTGAGGGGGCTATGTTGGCCTTTTGCTATTCTTCCTATCTTTCCTACGCATTGTGATAGTTTGCAGTTGTGTCTCTACTGCTGTCTCCTTGAGAAACTGCCAGACCTCCTGAATTCCTTTATCCCCAAGCTGTTCTTCCCATGAGATTTTTACCTACCAGTTTTCTGAGCCCTGGTCTATGCTACAAATAACGGCATCACTCAGGCACAGAAGACTAGTGCCTCCCCAGAGAGCCTAGGTAGAAGGGAAGTGGCTCCGTCTCAGGCTGTAGAAAGAAGTAGCTCAGTACTGCTCTCTACACTACTACTAGGAAGATTGACCAAGCATGCTGGGGGGAGGGCACAGAGAGAGAGAAGGACAGAGTCCTCCCCAGTCCTGGCAGTCCAATCTGTGTGTGTTTGAGGGGGGGTGCTTGATCTTTTCTTCCTGCCCCTCCAGGCCGCTTCAATTACCTCTGTACAGGGGGGTGTTGAAAATCCCCCACATTTGTTGCAAAAATGCCCTGGGTGCCAACTCCAAAAGAGGTTTTGGAGCTGAGAATCCCAAACAGAGACAGGTTACTGTGTCCAAGGGGCGAGGTTTCCAACCCTTCCCTCCCCTCCTCCTCCCCCCTGCTTTGCTCTTCCCCTTGGCTTCCTTCCCAGGGTCAGCAGCCTAGCATGCTGGATTTTGTGAATCTCATTCTTAGGTGTGTCTCTCTCCATTCATTGCTCACAGAGGGAGTCTGAGTTTCTAGGGCTTTGTGAATCCCAGAGATGATCTAGATGCCTAAAAGTTAAGCATTATGATGCTCAGCATCACAACACCTCAGCTTATCTCAGGTAGCTTGTTAGCCCAGAAATCCTCTCGTCTCCCACCTGTCACCCCTCAAAAGCTTGAGATTCAAGAGCTGTTTACATTAAAATAGATGGTGCTTGGACTGCCAGATGCAGGATCGGCTATTAATGATAGTGTTTTCAGTTCAGCAGCAGCAAGATCAAAGCAACTGCTGTTCCAATTAAACCCAATAAAGGTTTGCAGCACTGCCGCTTTGCAAGCAAAGAAAGTGTCACCGTTGTCTGCATTCAATTTCAGTTGTGCAGGATATTTCTCTTAACATTTGTTTTTGGAAATTCCCCCTTTCCTGGCTTTTGCCATAGCAGTGTTGTCTTCAAGTCGTCATTGTCAAGTCCAAGTCGAGTCTCAAGTCACTCCAGTTCAAGTCCCAAGTCGAGTCTCAAGTCTTAATTTAAAAAATGTCAAGTCACTTTTGTACAAGCCATCAATATCATCAATTTCGGATGATTTTTTCATCAAGTCGATTTAACAAAATTAGCAAGTCTCAAGTCGAGTCTCAAGTCACAAACAATGAACCTGAGTCGAGTCTCAAGTTGAGTCATCTAGGAGACTTAAGTCGAACTCGAGTTCAAGTTGTGGGACACAAGTCAACAACTCTGTGTCATAGTTACTCGAACCCGAGTGGTGATGTTGCTGTTAAATTTCTCCAGTCAGTTTGCTGAGACACCTTGTGGTCTACTTTTCCAAGGTCCTTCTGAAGGAGCATACAGGGGAACCACTAGAGCTGTGGTCTCCAACCTTTTTAAGCACAAGATCACTTTTTGAATTTAATTCAGTCCAGGATCTACCTCAAACCCAAATACTCCTGCTTCACCCTTTTGCTGAGGCCCCACCCTCCTCACTCTGTGAAGATGGGGTACAGAGGAGGGGGACAGAGTGCCACCAATGCCCCCTGCCTCTGTTTCCCCCACTCTGCACAACAAGCAGGAGGCTCCCAGGGGGCAGCTCTGAGGCTCTGGGCATGAGCAGCAGGGTGGCGGGGGGCAGCTGAAGTGCCACCACTTGATAGCCTCCCAGCAAAACCAGTCAGGATCACCTGTCAGAGGCTCCAATGGTTGGTGACCATTGCACGAGAGGATGCCTGATTTGAAGTGTGTGTGTGTATGGGGAGAGGTGGTGTTTGACTTATATTCTTACTGCAGATTTCAAATTTGTATTGTTGAGACTGGAGGGTACATAAGTCTACTTAGCCTCAGCACTTCAGAACTAATTTATGCTAGCAATGGTACGGTGTCACAGATGCATCAGTGTATTCACACTGCTGTGTCACCTGTGGTGATGATGCCCTCTGCTACTGAGAGAGAGCATTCCCTTCAGCATAAGAATCACTTCCACAAGAGGGCGGTAGCTCTGTCTGTGGGAGAAGCTCTTAGTAAGTGACTTATTCTCACACCCTTGAGTAACATGAGTGTTAGCCCGACAACCTGTAGTGTAGACAAGCCCAGAAAAGAGTCGAGGTTAGTTTCAGACAGAAGAGAGGTCTTCCTCTCTAGCAGGTAGGATGGGTTTCTCTAGGCTCTGAGCACCTGCCCTATCTGTATTACATTTACTGCTAGTCCTGTTTTCCCGGGAAGGGTCATTTTAAGGGTTCACTTTGCATGAAGAGAACGTGTACAGGAGATTAGAAGAATCGGATTTGACCTTGTGGTGTGTGGGGGGGAGGAGAAGGGGGGTGCTATTAAAATAAAGCATGAAAACTTTGATAATCATCTGACTCACTCACATCACTTTTGCCAGCACCGAGCGTTCAAAAATCATGCAGTAGATGTAACTGCCTTCTCTCTTCATGAGACTGGCTCAAAAATCATGACATATCTATAATAATATTTTGGGGGTTCTTTTTCTTGGCCTTCTGGTTTGAATCTTAATGAAGCACCCAAGTCCCACTTTCCAGCTTTTCTCTGCAGCCGAGAGCACTGGAAAGTTATTGGTTTGGGGGATTTTTTAAATGAAAACTGAGGTTTTCATATAATCTCTTGATTCCAGCACCTGAGGTTTAACCTCCCCCCGGCCTCCTGCCATCCCCAGATATTGAGACTCACAAAAAAAATTGCAGGGCTTGTTAACTACCAGATTGGCAAAGGGTGCAATCCCACAGACTACAAAGGGGTTACTCCTTATTTACCCCAGTGTGAGAGAGAGGAGAATCATTGTGCAAGAAAAGAAATTTTGCTTTAACCTAACCCTCCGTATGAAGTTTCTCTCTATATCCACAGATTGTAAACACTTCACGGCAGTACCTCTCTCACTGCATTTGTTCAGCACCTCGCGCAAAATGTCCCTGATCTCCGTTCCAACCTCTTCGTATTCCTGGAACATAAATGATGATCTGTGTGCAGAGGGAGCATACATATTGATATCAAAATGTGCTGCTGCAAAGCGTAGTTGATTGACAGCTGTGCTGTGCACAGACAGTGACAGGATTACATTAGATCTACAAATGTATCTTTAGACATAAACTGAGGCCCATAAATTAAACTGGAGATTATCTCTGCCACCAGCAGCAGCATCCTTAGTCATCGCACGCCTATGGTGTCATAGCAGCTTCCCACAAATATATGGCCACTTCATACCTGGCCTGGCCTGAAGGGGACAGGGAATATGTTTCTGCATTTTTGCACCTTTTTCTCACATGCAAGGGCTGCCTCCGTTGCTGTTCCTGCACTCTTAGGAATTGCAGGGACTTCTCCCTCTGTGGCCCCCTAAGGGATACACGATAACTGAAATAGGAAGAGGCAAAGGTGTCCCCTCACTGCCACACAGGGGAGCCAACAGCCTCTGCAGGCACTTTGGCAAGGTGTGGGGGGGCCGTTTTCATGTCTGAGGAAGGGGCAGGGCCATGTCAGCTAGCCCTCCATGCCACCCAGACATGTAAACCTCTCCTTAGCCCTCAGAGCCCAAGCAGCGCATTGAGCAGAGTTCTAGCAGCGATGTAAAGGGCCGGATACCACGTTGGCTGCAGTACTAGCAGTGGCAGTTGGGAGCCCCAAGCTCCATTGAATCATCGGGCCCTGGGGAACTGCCCCCTTTACCCACCACTGTCAGCGGGTTAGCTGCCATGCTGGTCTGCAGAGTTGGCCATACATGGAGACAGGAGCATGGTTTACCGCCCTAAGGGACGGCGCAGTTCACGCATTCCCCTTGGGTACCTGGCAACGTTTGGAAGCCTGTGTTCTGAGGCACAGCAGCTACTGTAGTTCGCCCCGAGGTAATATAGCCAAAAACTCAAAAAGTAATAGCAATTTTTTTAAACATATCGGAAACAGGAAGCCGGCTAAACAACTAGGTTATGTCTACACTACAGAGCTTTTTCCAGAACAACTTCAATTACATCCATGCTGCAATTGCATTCTTTCAAAAAATTTTTGGAAGAACAGAGGGGTTTTTCCAACAGCAGTAATCTTCTTTCAGAAAAAAGCGTTCTTCCTCGTAGAAAAAGCTCTTTCAGAAAAAGGCATGTATGGATGGGGAAAAGGGTTTTATTTAGAAAGAAGAGGCCTCCAGGAAAAAACACAAGTGCCCCGGTGGCCACTCCACCCATAGTAATCACAACTTAAATGCGAGATAGCGTCCATTCAGTGTGGACGCTATCTTTCAAAAAAACAGATCGCTTTTTTGATGCACTTTGGCAGTGTGGACGCGCTCTTTCAGAAGTAGTTTTTTTGGAAGATCTCTTCTGGAAAGAAGCCTGCAGTCTAGATGTATCCCCAGTGGGGCCACTGTATGATTGAGAGGCTAAAGAAGCACTCAGAGATGATAAGACCATTGTGGAGAAACTAAATGAATTCTTTGCATTTGTCTTCATGGCTGAGGCTGTGATGGAGACCCCTAAACCCGAGTCATCCTTTTTAGGTGACACACATCTGAGGAATTGTCCCAGATCGAAGTGTCATTAGAGAAGGTTTTGTGATAAATTAATAAAATAAACAGTAACAAGTCACCGGGACCAGATGGCATTCACCCAAGAAATCAGAAAGAACTCAGTTATGAAATTGCTGAACTATTAACTGCGGTTTGTAACCTATCCTTTAAATCAGCTTCTCTACCTAATGACTGGAAGATAGCTTATGTAATACCAATCTTTAAAAAGGGATCTAAAGGCGAGGATGGCAATTATAGACTGGTAAGTCTAACATCAGTACTGGGCAAATTGGCTGAAACTACAGTAAAGAACAGAATTGTCAGATACATGGATGAACATAATTTGCTGGGGGGGGGGAGGCAGGCGGCAACACAGAGACAGTGCTGAGGGCAACCGGCTTTTAAGCCAACTCCCCCTAGCACTGTCTCCTGCTCCTCCCCCCATTACTGCCTCTGATACAGAAGCAGCAGGAGATGGGGGGAATGTGAATAGTTAGGTATTCAACTTGACTAACTGATAAGCCTGGGCTTAGTGGTTTGTCGACTACTCCCTTATATCTCTAGTCTGTACTGGGGCCTATCTTATTCAACATATTCATAAACAGTTTGGAGAAAAGTGTAATCAGTGAGGTGGCAAAAGTTGCAGGTAATACTAAACTGCTCAAGATAGCGAACTCCAAAGCAGACTCTGAAGTGCTTCAAAAGAATCTCACAAAACTAGGTGCTTGGCCAACAAAATGGCAAATGCATGTCAAGGTTGACAAATGCAAAATAATTCATATTGGAAAACTTAATCCCAAACTATACGTACATCTTTTCCCAGTCAGCAAAACATCTAAAAAGCCTTAACTTTAAGCATGTGCTGAGGAGCTTTGCTAAACAGGAGCCTACATGGGTTTTCTAGCTACAAGATGACAGTAGTATTTCAGGTATTCCGAGGGATGATGGCAGACACTTAATAGAGCCTGTCCCCAGAGCTCTGCCTGGTACTAATGGAGTTAATATAACAAGAAGAACAAAGGTACATGTCAGCCTCCATTGTAAAATGGGATCAATAACACACCCACAATTACTATTCTGCTCTGAGTTGTCAGAAAGCGAGTCTGGTGCATGGTGAAAGGATAGGAGAAAAGAGAAGACAAGTATATTAAAATGTATTTGGTCTTAGAAGATGTATGAAAAATGTTTTTTCACACAGAGCATAACACATTACGAAGACAGCCCTGATTCATCAAAGCAATTAAGCACATGCTTAATTTTCAGCCCACACTTGAGTTTAATGCTTGCGCTCAAATGCTTTGCTGAAAAGGGATGGGCTCCTTAATCAGGGCCTAGCTAGTTCCAGCAACAGCACAATTAACATGTATATGTGAACCCTCACAAATAGCCCTGCACATGTACACATAGTTAGTGACTTGGCAAATGGCAAGAAGATATCGGATAGCTACTGATAGTCAATCCGTGCAATGGGGTACATATGAAATACATACATAACCAGCAGCTACCTGAATACTATACCCTCAGCCAGAGGCCTGGTATAGGGTCACCAGCTATCCTGATTGTATGCCCTGTGTAGCAATTTGTTCTGGTTGGGCTAGTTAGCTACGGGGCGGCCCGTCCATACAGGTGAAGTAGGCAGTTGCCTAGAGTGCCAAGTTAAATGGGGCACCAAATGGTGGTGCAATAGCATTGAGGGGTTTGGAGGTGGGGGCCCCGATTGCATGGTTCGCCTAGGGCGCCAGTTGCTGGCAGCTAGTCTAGGGCCACCCCTGTGGCTACCCTAGGTATTTTAGCAGTTATACGAACCAGCAAGAGTCTGACTGCAACCTTTGATGATAAAATCTTGAATGTGTGAAGATATTTTTGTGAGTGTGACAAAACTAATTGCATGTAAAGATTTACTAGAGAGATGACAGATCTAGCTTAAATCTTTCCCTCTCCATCTGTCAAAGAGGAACCTGGCTATTTTTACATTTGGAGCTGAATGTAGAGATGTTTCTTGTGCAAAAGAGGGCAAGAAATAATTGTACTACAATTCCCCAGGTCTGCTGCCTAAGAGTCCAAGCCCCAGTGATTTCTTCAGGCATTTCTGATAAATCACCCAATCAGGAACCAGCAACCATACCATATGACTGAGGTGAGTCCTATTTAGTCCAACAGTTGGCAGAACTCGTGATCTGTTTGCTGACATTTCACAGAGAAAGAGAGACAAATGCAGACAATAAATAGTCAGCAACAAATAAAATGTGCCATCAGCAAAATGTTGTGTATTTGCTATTCACCTCTTTCTCTGAGATCTTTAACAAACATATTGAGCATCCCTTGTTCTAATGCTGATCCCTGGAGCACCCCACTATTAACCTCTCTTTATGCTAAGAATTGGCTGCTTATCCCTGCTCTTTGTTTCTCCACTACTTATTTAGTTTTTAAGCCATGTCAGGACTTTACCTTCCTCCCCATGGATAACAAATTTCCTCAATAGCTTCTTAATCTTGTGAAGGACTTTATTAAAATCTTTTCCACCTCCATTCTCCCTCATCTCCAATTTTTGTTAACTCTTTCACAGAATCCTAATAGGTTAAAGAGGCATGACAAAACCTTATGAAATTCAGCAGCCTGTTGTGTGTTTATCAAGTTATATATTCATTTAGGTGCTTTCTCACTTGCCTTGAAAGGATTCGATTTATATTGGTCAATGTTTGGTTTGTGTGTGCATGGTGAAATTGACATTTGCCAACACAGAGTATTTCCATTACTAATAATTGAAATTTACAGAAACACAAAGCAAGAAACATGCTGTCTGGGGACTTATTAAAATTTGAGCTGAGGATATTTTCTTTGTATATTTGGTTATTGACAAGTTGTGCTTTAATGGTTATAAAGCTTTAACTTTTTAAATCTCAACCTCTAGTGTCATGAAATAATTACTGTCCAATCCCTTCTGTGGAGAAAGACAACTCTGACAAATTTCCCACAATGGTGGAAATTTAATATGAACATAAAAATTGGGGAAAATGCTTAAATATAGAAACTATCCTTCAGAATTATTTGTAAGAAAATTAAATTCCACCCACCCTATTCATAACTCTGTCATTAATGATTTTTCTCACCTATTTCCCTACGTACTGAAGTATGATTCCTCACTTCATACTTCTCAGCATCATCCTTTTTTTTTCTTTTTATGAGAAGTGGATTCTTTGTTGCCCCCAAGTCCTCTGGTACAGACTGCTGTTTTTAATAATGTGTTCCATATTCTAGTTGGTAGCTTCAGCTACCCTGTACTCTAGATCTTTCCTCATTCTCAGATGCTTGCCAATTCATGCCTCATTTAAGAGCTACACTTGCTCCACCATCTTCTTTTCATGCCTCTGTCTCCAGCAGAACATCACCTTTGCAGTGAGGATAGAGTGATCCTGGAGAAAGTATTTCCTCACTACCCTGTCTGGGGAAGACTGAAGAAAAGAAATTCAGCAATCTCTGCATCTCTGTACACTCTTGTGGCCTATCTAGCCCTTCCACAGGCTTTCTGGTTCTGGCTGGACAAGCAAAACAATGCTCTATAGCAGGGGCAGGCAATAATTTTTGATGGGGGGCAGGACATTCCAAGACTTTGGAAAGTGGTCGAGAGTCGCACTCTTCCATGATATCAGTGGAGGAGGTATGGGGTCTGGGATGGAGGTTGGGTGCAGAAGGGAGCTTGCGGTAAGGGATTGGGGTCCAGGAGCATGTGTGGGGTTTGGGGGGGAGTTCGGGTGAAGGAGGCAGTTGTAACCTGGAGCAGGGGACTAGGGTGCAGGGGTTTGGGTTGTGACCTTTGTGGCAAGAGGAGGTTGTTACCTAGGGCGGGGGACTAGGGTGCAGGAGGAGGTGCAGGGGTTTGGGTTGTGACCTGAGACAAGGGATTGGGGCACAGGATCTGGGAGGGGATATGGGCACAGGAAGGGGGCAGAGGGTTTGAGTTATGTGAGGTGGGGGCAAAGGATTGGGGTGCCAGAGGCAGGCTCTGGCTGAGAGACTTACCTGCTTGACTCCCAACCAGCAGCCTTCTCATACAGACTCCCTGCCTGCCCTGCACCTGGTTGTGACCTGAGACAAGGGATTGGGGCACAGGATCTGGGAGGGGATATGGGCACAGGAAGGGGGCAGAGGGTTTGAGTTATGTGAGGTGGGGGAACAGAGGGTTGGGGTTCCAGAGGCAGGTTTTGGCCTGGAGACTTACTGGGTAACTCCTGGCCAGCAAGCCAACACATTTCTCAGTCAGACTCCCTTCCCGCTCC